TGATGTTATCCAGTCCAATGGCCTTATTGATCTTCAGCTGACTCAACTGCTCTTCAACAAAGGATATTGTGACGGGCTTGAGAGAAAAATTTGAGCTACATGCAAAGCACTGATCCGGCAAAGCACCGCTAAAGGCTTTGGCAAGCTTCTTGCCAATGCTTGAGAAATGATTATTCAAAGTTTCTGCAATGCTTGTAGGATCAGTTTGCAATTTCCCACCAGGAAAGATTGAGTTAGGTAGTTAGATTAATTTAATTTAATATTGTTAAGTCCTGAAGGAAATACCATGTCTAAATAAAGATTTACCTTGACCTTTACCCCTAATGCCCTCAATACCCCTAGTACCCCTAATACCCCTAATACCCATCATACCTCTAATACCCCTAATACCCCTAATATCCCTAATACTTAAATACCCCCAATACCCCCAATACCCCTAATACCCCTAATATCCCTAATGCCCCCAGTACCTCTAATACCCCTAATACCCCAAATACCTCGGCTGTAGTTTGGCTGCGTGTTGTGTACCCTCTTCTCCTCGACCAAAACTAACGCTGCTTTTTGCTGAATAAATCAAAGGAGGAAATGCGTAGTTTCACTTCGCTGGCCTAGATTTCTGTGCGCAAAAAATGTAACACAAACCCAACGAAAGTGTTTACATAGGAAAAGAGTTCAACTCCCACAGGATTACTTTGGTACACCAACATGTCCTCGTTTCATTGTTACGGAAGTGGAAATGCTCAATTCATGTAGCTGTTCTCTCGAAGCCAAGGCGATTCAAAGTCTTGTTCGTAAACAGAATAACTGTCCTAGTTTTGGTTATAAAACCATGTCGTCTCGCATACCGACGGAACAGGCAACGCTTGTGTCGATTTACACGGTTCAGAATCGTAAGGTTCCGGTCAGTATAAAACATGGACTTCGGGCTGCGGAATGCGGAATGCGGAATGCGGAGTGCGGACTACTGCCTCACTATAAAACACGAACTGATTCATAAAACGCGGACTAAGCATTACGGACTGGGTATAAAACGCGGACTGCGGACTAAATGCGGCCTGCCGACTGCAGTTCTTGTTTTATACTGACCGGTCGTAACTAATATTACGTAATACATACATGAAAAAACCCTCTTGTATGCACGTGTTTTTGATCGATTCATTTGTTTTTGCCCCTGCTTGAGGGAGGCCAATTTCACGTCTATATAACAGCTCACATAAAATGCTGTTCCCAGAATTTTTGCTTTTAATTTTAACATACCAAACCTACCAAAACTCGAACGTACCCTCTAATCTATGATTACTACTAGTCTATATATTTACTGGGTTCTCGAGGAACGAGAGGTGGCAGCCTAATTTCGTTTTGGCCTGTCTGCAGCCAAGAACAATCCAGATTTTTTGTGAAGACTGCAAATTGGCCGCCCCCTTAGTTTTTTTCAGGGGATTTTAGCCACGTTTTCGTGTCCTTCTGCTACGTTATTCTTGTTCTCTGAAAAATCTTTTGTGGCTTCTTTCGCTGTTTTCCAAGTTTTGGGGTTTTCTTCTAACTGGTTTTTCACTCTGGTTGCATTCGACAAAAACGGAAATGCAGACTGGAGTGAGATTTTTTGGCCGGGGGAAAACAAATTACATCATCGCCTTTCGATCGTTCGTGATCGCTCGTTTCTAGTAGTTTTGATTCTGGACCGTGCGTGGCCTCTTTGGTCAGGATGCGACATGACGTGCTTTTGTTACATGACTGGGACAACGACTATTTATTCTGTTCACGAACACGGCTTTCAATCGCCTTGGCTTTGAACAGCAATGTAATTGCTGACTATTTTTATTCATCAGCGTAAATTAAAATAATAATAATAATAATAATAATAATAATAATAATAATAATAATAATAATAATAATAATAAAAATAAAATAAAATAAAATGCCAGTCGCACGGACATAAACCGACAGTTTCATCTGGCGATGTTCGTTCCAGTGAGAACTGGGTCTAGGAATGCTGTGCGGAAAACTGGGTCGAGTTTCCCAAGTCTCTTCTCTGCCAAGTTTCCCAGGCAACACGGCCTTGTTGTTGACCGTCAAAGTTCAATATGGCGGGAAGTAAAGTGAATTGAGGATTTCTTGAAATCGTTGCCAAGAAAGGTTAGTTTACCCACCAATTGTAATGCTAAGTGATTTTTCAGGTAACGTTCTCATGCAGAAGCGGATATTTGACGTCAAGAAGTGGAAAATTATTTTACTTTTGTTGGTTTTTTGCTCGCTGTTACATCAGTGTGTGAGATCAGGATGTTGCAGATTTCAATGCAGGATTTATTAGAGTTTTTTTTAAAATTTATTAGCTCAAATTCATTTTCAATGCGTGGATTAACGTTGTTAACAAAGTTAAAGACCACTTTTAATTAAAATGAAGACGCTTTCGTTTTTAATTTTGTTTCCTCCTGAGGTTTCATCGCAATGATATTTCTTCTCTGTTCGTGCAAGTATTAAAAGTACAATTTATTGTTCTTTTTAATCCTTCTTAGCAATAAACATGACTTCCACTCCAGAAGTCATTCAAGCTCGCCGGACAGAATCCTTGGATGCACCAGAGATTTTAAAACTTGTCAGTGCAACAACAGAGAAGCTCTTTGGCCGTGTGAATGTCGTGAATATTATGTGAGTAAACTCGACTTTTGGCAGTTTTGTCAGACAAGTATGAAGCAAAATGAAGCGGCGTGGAAAATTTGAGAACACGCGGGAAATGTTCTCAGTTGCATTGCTCGCAAATAACTGACATTTAGCAGTATTATGTTATACATCTTGATTAACGTAGATCCATGTATATAGATGTCCATGTATTTTGACATAAGTTAAAGTTAAATAATGGAATGGGGTTATGTGATTGGTACATGTACATATGCTAAATCACTTATTGATTAAGCCAATCGCTATCAGTGTCAGTTAATGTAACTATAGGTACATTATACAACCCATGAGTAAATTCAGGAAAGAGGATATGATGTCTTGTCAAATAGCCACACAAGTTGTACATTTATTTAATTTTTATCATTGTACTTTGTATTTTTATCTTGTAGAACTTTCTTTTTAGTTCTTTTGCTTTTCCAAAGTGCTTAGAACAGATCTTGATAGGCGCTATAGAAATATCTATTATTATTATTATTATTATTATTATTATTATTAGAACACTGTTGACTCAAAGCACATGGTACAATAAGACAAAATAAAGATTGTTGCTGTTGTTTATTTGTTGCTGTAGATAAGCAGTGGACACCATGTTGACTCTCACATCCTTATTTTGACATGTCTTACTTCTGCATGTAATCACCTGGCCAAAATTACTTGAATTAATGTCCTCGCAAACTGTACAGACAGTGTAGATACAATCAGTTTTAACACTAGTCTATGTTTTAAATGTTGTACCACTGCATTGTTGTGAATAATGGGGCTCTCACTATTAGTTTTTCTTGACTTTATAAATTTTTACCCCTTGCAAAGTATCAGCCAATACAAACCTATACTTTACAGTAAACTCAGCATTAAAAGCATCATTCTCAATGTTTCTCTTAATGTACAGTGAAAAAGCCAGTCTGGCTGTGACATTGGTTAATGCTAACAATGATGTAATGGGTCATGCTGCATTCTTTGATTATCCTAACTTGCCGAGTGTGGACCCAGGCAAATGGGAAGAATGGCTTCACTCAAAGTACGATTGCAAAAAATGCAATGTAAGTATACCTTAAATAAATGCTAGACTTGAACAATAACCTGAGAAAAAGAATCCCCAGTCCCGTACTTATTTTTTCCTCCTTGTAATCTGAGCTGTTATGGTCGAAGAAATCCAGAAGTTTCAGGGTTTTCCAAACTAGCTGGCTTCTTGCCACCATCTATTTTATGATCTCAGCGGGTGTGTTTAATACACAAAATGGCAAAATGACAAAATGGCCATTACATGGTATAAATCAATTTTAGATATGGTTACTATGCTTATTAATTGAGTAAGGCACGACAAATGTTTGGTGACCAGGTTTTAATGTTCTACTTGCGATGTTGTTGGGGTAACTGGCTCCGTTTCCAGAGGCAAATTGTTGGCCTTTGACGTCATTAGCAGCAAAGTGCCCAAAATTGCAGGCGGCGATATTGTTACCATTGGAAACTAGGAAAGTTTCCTGTGGCAACACCGTAATTTTACAAGTGAGTCCAAAAGTTCACCACCAAAACTCTATTGCGCCTTAGTGAACTGACAATTGTAGTAATCCATACAATTATTGAAAGCTAACTACCTTCAAGTCAGTGATATTTAGGCTAGTCAAAGAGCCATTTACCGGCAGGCTAACTGGAGCGCTATTAAGGCTAACTGTAGTGACATTTTGTCATTTTGTCATTTCATGTTTTAAGCACTCCTGATCTCAACCAGCTACATTTGTATTCTGCTGTGTTGTTCTTCCAATTCTGACTTAGAAAAGATCAGAAATTTTACAGCCACCTACTCAAACAAATAATTAGAAAACGTTATAGTGAGAGATGTTTGGTTATACAGGCCAGTGCTATACGTTTGTGTTTTAATTTTTATTTCTCATTGGTTTGTCAAGTTCCATTGTTTTACAACTGATCGGTGAATCATAATTTTCATTGTTAAATTATTTAAGTGATTAACATGTGAAAACTTTTTTGTCAACTAGCCTCTGAACACTCTCTTCATGAACTACTTTGTAGCCAAGTCTGATTTTGCATATGGTTGTGCAACAGAAATTATTAGGTGAGTACGATGCATAAGTAAATTGTTTATAATAGGTTGAGATTTTTTATTTCGTAATGCTTGAAGATTCAGCTCTAATTATCCTGTCTAGTTTGTTTGAAATTTGAACTCTAGATATATGTATATATACTCATCTTTTGTTTTCCAGAACGGTGTTTAATGCTGTTCCATTCCTACATTACATTTTCCTTGTTGTACCAAGGGGAGTTGAGACAGGTAAGTCTAAGCTAATTAAAAGATGAAACTCCATTGCTGAGAATCATTATAAGAATCAGATCATTATAAATTAATTTATAAATTTATGTGTGTGTATTCTCATCAATGATACATACAAGTAATGTAGTTTTTACTGATACAAGCTACATGTCTCTTTTAGAATTTGAAGACTAATTTTTGACTTTTGAATTTCAATTTTTCTATTGTATAGGATCAACACTGACTGAGTTGTTTAAACCAATGACATTTAAGGAGAGTTTTACAGGGAGATTGAATGTTGAAGTGCAAGTCTGTCATCGTCATGATCACTGTGCCAAGTTACACATCAGACCAGCAAGGTCAGTCAGTCAGTCAGTTCTGTCTGTCAGTGAGTTGGTCAGTCAGAGAGTCTGTCTGTCAGTGAGTTGGTCAGTCAGTTTTTCAGTCAGTCAGTCTGTCTGTCAGTCCATCAGTCAGTGAGTTTGTCCGTCAGTTGTTCAGTCAGATAGTTTATTGGTCAGTCAGTCAGCCAACTTTACATCCATGGAATGATGGACATTAATACTACTTATGAATAATTAGCTGCACGGACATTATTTTTCAGCCTGTTGCATAATGAGCTGTTAACATGTGAAATCTTGTAACAAGTATTTTTAGTTTCAACCTAAAATTTTGGACTGTGTGGAAAAATTTCCAAGTGATTTTTGAGAGGCCACTAGATTCTCCTAGCAAATTGCCTTCAGTTGTCAAATTGGAGAATTTTGCAATGAGTGCCTTTGATCTCAATCCATCCTTTCATAATAAGATACATGTAATTCTTAATCATTTATTTTGCTTTGTTGTCCATAGGGTAGAGGATCATGATGACCTCACACCAATATTCAATCGACAAAGTGATGTCCTCACTTCTACATATGGTATGCAGTATTAAATTGAACATCTGGCCATATTAACGGGGTGGCCGTATCAATAGGGTAGCCATATTAATGGGTTAGAGTCAAACCTCATGAATGGTGTAAACTGAGTGACATTTTAGCTTATATCACAATTGCACTTCTAAACAACTTTTCTTTAATAAACACTGCAATACAGATATACCGGTAATTTTTTAAAAAAAATTCAAACTTTGAACAGTACATACATATTAACAATGGAAAGATGAAACTAACTGGTTCGAGTGGTTGTATTAATGGGGTAAAGTTACAAAGGATTATGCAGGTTCGGATTTCAGAATGTGGCCACTGGCCATATTAATGGGTGGCCTCCTTAAGTAATAAGTTTTCTAATAAGGAAACGTATGGGCGTTTTGCCAGGACAAAAAAAGTGGCCAACTGATAAGAAGGTGACTGTAAGGCAGAGTTTCACTGACTTGATATGTAACCTCAGCCTTATAGGTATGGAATGCCTGAAAAGGGCTACATACATGTAGGTGGTGTTTCCAAGGATGTATTTTGTGATTGTATTTCTTTTGATGCTACATAAATAATCTCACCATAAAATGGCAATTTTAATTATTGTTATTAAAACTGCCATTATGATTGTCAGTTTGTAGCCTAACTACTTTGTAGCCTAACAACTACACACAGGGCTTTAGAGCACATATGAGTTGCAACCTTGTAAAGTAGAATTATATTTGTTGAATGAGCACAGTGATTACCCTCCTTTCTTAATTTCAGGGGCCTTCTTCTTGGCTGAACTCATAGAGGCTCAAGATGAAAAAAATAAGTGCGTTGTCGCAGATGTAAGTTGACATCACTAGAAAAATGCACTTGTCGTAATCACGTGC